AAAAAAAAAAAAAAATACAATAAACGGCAGTCTTCCCTGCTGGGGCTCCTGATATCAAAACAAATACGCAGAAGGAAATACCACTTACAATCAAGTTGTTCTAGCGGAAGAACTATTTCCATTCAAGAGGATCGGGCTTGTTTGCACTATCTATTCTGTCAGAAAAAAAGTCCCAAGGGGAATTTATACGCTCTTAAAGTTTTCTTTCTCTGCGTCCCCTTGCTGCTGCTCTCTTCTCTCCGCCGCTTCTTTTCTTTTCCTGTTCTCTTTGCTTTTTGGACAGAGTATGCATACCGATGATAAGCTTGGAGGGATTAAGGGTTGGGCGTCTTAAAGAGCCAGACGCAAGCCAAAGGACCCCAGAACCACGTTGGTACAATGGTGTCGAAGAAGCACTGCTGCCGGCGGCACTGGTGCTGTATGATAAACCTGGGACTCAAACGGCGGCCAGAAAGCACGCTGCAGATGCCCACTGTTTCTGCTTGTTTGAATAGAAAAGAAGTCCTGAGACTTCTTTTGCTCTATATTGGTCTTTTGGTCACTTTCACTCTTTTTTTCTTTCGGGGAGGTTTTGCTGTGTTGGTTCTTCCCTCTGGCCTGGTGTAATAACCGCAGCCAAGGGTGGTTCTGGAAGTGTCCTGACAACGCCCGTCGCCAGCGAGAAGAGAGGGCGCCTAACACGTCTAGACACACCCAGACCAGATGAATGCTGCAGACAGAAATGCAGAGAACGAGAGAGGCAGGATGTGTATGATTGAAGTGTTGAGAGAGCGAGGAAGTGTGAGGTGTGGAAGAAGAGGAGGAGAGAGGCGGACGAGGAGGGGAGGATCGCCAGTTAGTCTAGTTGCGGTTTGGTGGGGATTTTTGAGGTATTACTGTCTTCCTCCCCTTTTAACGACCGCCCATGAATATGACTTCATCCTCCCCAGCACCTCAACCACCTCACTCGCTCCCACGCCTACATACAACGCCAGTGCCTACGAGTGCCTACGGGTGCTGCCAGCAGCCTGCGGTCTACAGTCAACGGTCTGCTTCATAGTGCTTCCCCCCTGCCTGGCTCTGAAGACGGCTATTCAGTCTTCTAGCCTCGCTCTAAAGCTTGCCCTGGGACGCCCGCCAGTCTGGCTCGATATGGCAGCAGACACGGAAGACCCCCTTCTATCCATCCGGATTGCTCTGGAAACGGATGAAATGAAACAACTGCCATCCTATAAGAGACGGTCCTGGCCCTGGAAATGGGCCCTGATCCGATGGTTGCATCTCCTTCGTGCTTCTCCACACGGCGTACCAAAGATCAGAGGCATCATCTGTGCTTGAGCATTCCTATTTCCCCCGACCCAACTACTAGGGCTTGGGCGTCAACATTTTTTAGCTAGCTGGCACTGCATGACCCTTGTGGAGGGGAATTGAGGCCGCCTGGGGTGCAGCACAGAGCCCAGCAGTCAACCTCTTCTATACGCTCGGAGTACGGAACAGCCCCCTTCGACAAAACACGAAGGAAGAGGAGAGGAAAAAGGAAGGGAAATGGGGTTAAAGAGCGTATATACCGCACTAGGCGTTGATCAACAACTCATCTGGTTGCACGGGGGTTTTTCTCTCTCGTCTGGCCCATCCACGTTGGAATTTCCTGCACGTCAGTCAAAACTTCTGACTTTTGGCAGAACACCATGAAGAGAGGAGCAAGAGGGAAACGGGGGAGGGAGTGGTGAAGGGAAAAAAGAAAGAAATCGGAGCTACTTTGTGGTGGGGCGGGCCATCACGGCCTCAATATTATCGCACGTCCTTTTGCTCGTTGTTCACTTGCGCTTCTGCAAAAGATCAACATATATACTCCGTACATTTACCGGCGGAAAGGTCGCGTGTGATGAGCCGCTTAAGACCATACATGGATGTATCCGTTCACACACAAGATACGGAGAGGGTGTGCGGGCTGACATGGCTCGATGTGGCTCCTTTCCGAGACTCTCTGGACTGTCATCACGACTGGGCCGCCCTGTGTCATCTTTTTTTCGTTCTTTCGCGCAACTACAAGAAAAACAACCTGAGGAAAAGAAAAGAGAGCTTTAGGAGCCAGATGTAAAAAGCAAAACGGACGTCAGACTCGCTATCATGCATGATGACGACAAGACGATGATACCCTCTTTTCCGATCCAGGGGCCAAGAGCCAATGGAAGAAAGCCGAGGAGGCTAGGCCAGGATCCATCCCCAGCACGACAAACCATATGGTGGACTCAAACCGCCTCTTTTATCCACCAAAAAATGATGTAAACGGCTCCTTCTCCTCCACACCTCGGTTTTTTGCTCTGATGAAGACAGACTTTTTGCTTTATATCCGCAGCCTTGCTACTTATGTGATAGCGTGGACAGTTGTCACCCTCGGCGGCAAGGGGGTTGCGAATAAAGACAATGAAACCGGGCCGGCGTTAATGCAGCCAGCAACCGACTGCAATGCAGAGTTGAAACGTCTCATTGCATATATTAGTTGTTACCTCTTCTCTCACGCTTTTCTCTGTCTTGTCACCAACCCCCCCTTTTTTTACCGCAAATGTCGACGTTTGGTACCCGATTTGTGACGTAGGCCAAGGCTGCGCCGGTGCACTGATGATCCCTCGCTAGGAAAGGTTAAACACATGTCGACATACAATATTTCAAATCCGCCTTTTCTTTTTCCCCATATTTGGTCGCAACGCCGCGGGATAGCCAGTCTATTCTTTCCTAAAAGAGGGGAGATCATGCAAGTCTTGTTCCTCAAAGATGCTTCTTTGCTGGCCCGAGTCCATTTTAACCTCCATTTAAGGGTGGAACCTGTCCAACGCTGAGCAAGAAAGGAGACTCTTGCGTCGGTGGATGCGCGGGAGACTTGACTATCTCGTAAAGTATTCCAACAAGCCCATTGGGACTAACGGAGCAACGACGTTCTAGGCCCTGTCAGGACATGTGTTCGGGGCAAGCGAACGACACGGAGCTAGGCCTGCAACGGTACAGCGTACGCTCGACGCAGCACTATGATGCAGGAATGCATGTCGACTTTACTTGCCGTCCGCTTGCAGGGACAGCATGTCCAGCGCCCCCTTACTTACGTCCATTTCTGGGGTTCCCGGGGCTTATACTCCGTACAAATTGAAATTACTTTTATCTTCGAACCCAAGAGCAGACGGGCTCACAAGCTTGCATAAAATATGACGGGTAGCTATCTCTTTGAAAATGTACGTGCATGGGTTCGAACTGACAGAACTGACGTACTCCGTACAACGACGTCCCAATTGCATATTACCCTAGCTGCTGTCCAGTTTACGAGAAGATCTCCCCTCCTTTCTGAGATGGCGGTGGACGAATTTAAATAATTAGGTGGCTGGACTGGGGGTTGTACCTCCAATGCAACTCTCTGCTGCCGCGTTGTCACCGGAAAGATAGCCCATGCAAGATATGATATCCATATGCAGTCCGGGAGTCCTGGAAGGATGGAAAGGCGTAGAGGAATGACGGGGGCGCACGCCGCCCCAGAACCACGTATCAACAACCTTCCCATGTGTGCTGTCAATAAGCTCGCTCCTTTTTATCTTCGTCTAATGGGGAACACCCGATAGCTAATCGCCATCCAAGGGCTTGACGGGAGCTAGTATGAGTCCCTCTCTGGCTTCCGAGGAGATGTCTCTCTCAAATCTTATCTCATTATAGTGGACGGAGATGGAGATCTAGGTTCTCCCTTTTGTTCTCGACCCGTTAGCTAACTGCCGTCGAACGTCATTTCACTTTATCGGCTATCGAGATGTATAACTAGGGATGAAACGAACGAACTAGCGAGACCTGCATCTATGGAGCATTTTATGCTGAACTAGGGAGGAGGGAGACCCTCTTCAAGATCCGTGTCGACCTGCCCTCGTCAAATGAAAGGTGGCTGGGAGACTAGGCAATGCACGAATTCCACGTCTTCTCACCCATGCTTCTTACTGGGATCTCTTTCACATATGACCAAAAGCATATAATGACGAACTGCATGAGGATAACCGGATGTTTGAATACCGAGTTGTTTTATGAAATGCTTAAAAATATAGCTGTTGAGAACCGTCGTATCAGTATCCAAAGGACCTCGGATAAAAGTCCCAGGCGTCGAGACATTCGGGTTCTTTAAGAAAGATAGGAATATAGGTGGTCGCCCATTCGCCATTGATTTCGGCCGTGTAGTCCGCTTTGCAATACTCCCAGTAATCAGGATACCAGCCTGATTGCCGCCAGTCAATAACCGCGATTATTTTATTTGTTACTTCCGAGACCATAATATTGCTTGGATGGAGGTCGCCGTGCGTAAAGACAACCTTTGCATCGTCTGGCAGCCTGCTTCGATAAGGGTCTGGGATTTCAGACAGTTCTTTGCCTTGCCAGTGATAAGGCTGAACTTTCATCTTGAGTACTGTTGATATCCAGTCGTGAAGCTCAGTGACGGAGTAGAATGGTCCAGCGGGAGGAAGATTACCACTGGTGAAAATAATATCACCAAGGGGCTCACGGTTAACGTGTCCTATTTTTCATTCTCCGGTAAGCAACAGCTCGCGGTCTTCACACTAATTTGGTTATCATACTCCGTACCTAGGAAGAAATCACCCGGTGCATGCTGTAGCCTGCGGTAGTCAAGAATAATCTCCCGAAGCTGCTCACATATCGCTACTCGCTCAGCCGGGCCTAGAAACCCCCACCGCTGTTCAAGCGTAACACCCTTTATCAGCTCCATATATATGAAGACTTGACCGTTATCATGAGTCCATCCGTACACTTCAGGGACAGGCACCGTGGGCAAGGTCCGGCGCAACGCCCAGAGTAACTGGCCCTCGGCAACGGTCACCTCTGGAGCACGTCCGTACTTGACAATTAAGCCCAGATGCTCGTAGCGAACCGGCTTGAAACCATAGTCTCTTTTGGCCTGTGATGCGGGCCCTTGTAGCACACTTTGCTCACGTACATTGGCGGGTGACGGCAACGCAGCCTCTGCGCCATTGCGGGAGAAGTATGAGGACTCAAGGAACGTTGCTGACTCCGCGGATGGAAGCGCCCGCGAGGACATCGTAGGAGGACTGTTGGTTTCCATGAGGTGAGACCAGCATTCTGAGCAGTCGGGTTGCGTAGAACTGGAGTCGCTGTTTGGTGATGCCTAGTTCGTTACGGAGTGGTTAGCCGCCTCTCATTGACTGCCTAACTAGCTGCAACCTGAAAGAAACTGTGCGAAGGCTCAAGACAGCCTCGCTAGTGTCGATGGATAGCCATCATTCAGCGTTCCACGGCCATTGATTAAGGCGTGCATCCCAGAAGATTTGAGGCCTTCTCTGCGTTGAGATTGAGTATAGTTGAACGATACGTGGATGTAGCTAGCTAACGCCTAACTAGTTAAGGGGACCTTGGAGGCACCGGCTCGTCTACTAACTACTCCATAACTACCTGGGCTACTTACGCAAAACATCCGGAAGACAACTAAATAGTACCTGATAGAGTGTGGAGCGCATATACAATATAGCCTGGCTCACTTCTAATCCCGGAGGTGAGAGATTTCAGGGGTAAAGAGGCTTTCATCGGCTTTCATTATTGCGCTTGTTGCATCCAGGCCCGGCTCAATTTTGCACCATCAATAATAGATCAAAAGCCATACGAAGTCCACTCGGCAATTTACAATTTCAGCTATCTCCATGCCCAAGAGCGACGTTAAGCCGCCTGTGGAGATCCAATGTGCCGGCATGCTTGAACTCTGTATGCGAGTGCGGGAGATATAGCGGGGGACGAGCCTGTCAAGAGTAATAAGTACCTGCTATTTTACTAAAAAAAGTCGGGGATAAATAAGATGTTCAAGGGTATGATGGGAATGGGTGATATTTTTTATGGCCGGACCAAAGGCGAGACAAATAAAGTGATAATTACAAAAATGAGGAAAAAAGAAAGAAAAAAGCATTTGGAGGACCAGGGTATGCGCGGAGGAGGGATACAGGCCGAAATCTCGTATTTCCGCACCATCGTCCCTCATTTTCCTCTCGTTCTCTCCCAAGATGCCGCAGTGCCTGTCCTCTCGATTTTTTTTTCCCCTATGCACGCCCAAGCACACCGGTTGCTCAATTGATACCGTCCATGACCTTCTTTTTTCGGTCTTGACTCTCCCCAGCTCGCTCACCCTAGAGGTAGTTACGTACCAACGAGATTACCATGCAGGCGAGGCCGAGAAGAATGGTGCGACCGTTTTCCAAACCGACTGCATTTCGACTATCGATCATGCCGAAACTTCAACGCCGTTTTCTGCAAGCTCCTTTTCCTTCGCAGCAAACTCTGCCGTCTGTTCTTCGGTCAACTCTAGAAGTGGCTTGTTCTCACCAAGTTTGATGTTTCTGTGGTATGCACGGATGATGCTGTCTGCATCGTCGACGGCAATGGGCCGGATGTCGGCAAGAGCCTTGATCTTGGCTGTACACTCCTTGTACTGTGCATCAGTCATGTCAAGGTTGAGCTGCTGAGCTCGAGATTTGATGGCGTTCCAGCCTGTGAGGCGAGAGGCAAAGTGCACATAACGTGTCATGCCAAAGTCGGCTGGGTTGATAATCTCATAGGTGCTGGGGTTGTTAAGAATGGCCTTGGCGTGGATGCCAGCCTTGTGGGTGAAGGCGCAGAAACCGGTGATGGGGTTATTGAAAGGAATGTTGACCTGGACGGCTTCAGCGACAAGGTCTTCGATATCCTTGATCTTTTCAAGCTTGTATTTGCTGAGAACATAGTCGCGGTCCGCGGCGATCATACGGGCCATCAAACCGCCGAGCGGGGTGATACCATTTCGCTCACCGATACCTAGAACGGAGGTATCAATGTGCGTGGCGCCTCCTTCGAGGGCACAGTATGCGTTGGCAATCGCACATCCTGTGTCGTTATGCAGATGGATCTCAATGTCACACTTGACAACACCACGCAGCACACGGACGAGCTCGTACACCTGGCGTGGGGAGGCACAGCCAACTGTGTCGGCGATACCAACACGGTTGACACCTACCTGATCGACGGCAGAGTAAATTGAGAGAAGATCAACGAGGTCTGATCTGAAGGAGTCTTCACTGGAGAAGCGGACTTCAATGCCCTTGGATTTGACGAAGTTGATGACCTCGATGGCGGTGTTCTTGATATAGGTCATGTCTTTGCCGTGAGAGTGCTCACGGAGGTAGGAAGAAGTACCGATAACAACGTCGCTAATGAGAGTTAGCCTGAGTTAACAGGATAATGACAGAGTGATCGCCCAAGAAAGGATTATCTTACACTCCATCGACACCAGTTTCTACCGCTATCCGGGCATCGTCCATATGACATCTGATATGTGTGAGGATCTATGTCTCGGTGTTAGTTCATACAAGTGAAACCATATTGTCGAAGGAAAGAGAGCGGCAATACCTTTGCCTTCAATCCAAGTTTGCAGATAGCTTCACAGTCCTTTCTCGACTGCTCAGAGGCGCATGGCGAGGTGAGTTCGATCTATTGACGTCCAACATTGGTCAGTTAAACAACGTCTTATGTCTGGGTGGGCTCCAGAAAATCATGACTCACATAATCTACACCAAAATCGTCCAGAGCCTTTGCAATTTCAATTTTCTTCTCCGTATCGAAGAAAGCATTGGCAAACTGCTCTCCTTCTCTTAGAGTACTCTCAATGATCTTGAATCTGGAGACATTGCTGAGGAAATCTGTCACACCGGCGTTGTGGCCGTACGGATTTCTTGAGACGTGTGGGTGAGGATTCTGGCGGGTCTGAACTGCGGTGAAGCCTTCGTGATTGCCTGCAACGAGGAAATTTATCAGTAAATGGTTGTCAATTTTCCCATCCTGAATTGTGAAATGTTCATACCATTTGGTGCAATTGTGACTCCGTTGGTATTATTGTCTTCGCTTGTGTGGCTGCTACAGCAAGGACGAGAGCCGGTATCGGTGGCCATCTTGACGTGGGGGTTCTAAGCTAATGCTAAGAACAAGATAGAGGAGCTGGGTGATATTGAATCAATGCTGCTATCAGGGGGCAGCTCCTTATGGAATAAATGATCGAAATATGGCCGCAAGAGAAGGGGAAAAAAAGAGAGTCAAAAGTCTGGTTGACAAAAAGTCAAGAAATTAAGATAAAAAGATCAGTCGATGACTCGATTCTTGCTCTGATAAGCAACCCTGGTTCCCATGGTGTAATAAAAATATACTCGCAGGAAAGAATTTTCTGTACTGGCTGTACTAGTGTATGCTGACTACCAGTAAAACTGCGCTCTTTGCCAAACGACCGCGGCTGTTGGGTGGATAAATTACACGTCAATACCGACCGCACAAGCCGCGAGCACTTTGACATCATTTTTAGCACACGGAAACAGGCCGAATCCACTCCGTCAAGCTGCATTTTCGTCGTCTCTTCTCTGCCAATTCGTTATCATCCGTAGCTATTTATGAGATGTCGTTAAAATAAAAATGGACGATGAGAAGAAGACTTCCCAAAGGGGAAATAAGCTCGCATGTGACATGACTAATATATTATGTAAAATATGATTAATAGATGACTAATAGGCTTTATGAATGTCTTATTAATTTATGATTAAGCCCCCTTATGTTTTCATTCTGCTGTCATCGCGATTGTCTTTTTTTTTCATCATCAACAACAACAAAAAAAAATATATTCAGACAAAGGGACGAGCGAGAAGGAAAAACGAAACGTCAACTCGAGTTTGAATATCGTCCCACGCAATCAGTTACAGCCTACTACGTTGATATCCACGCATTTCCAATTCATCGATACCTCTTTGCCTCTTGTTCTGCCCCCTCCGCCCCAGTGGACCTCGATCTAGTCTGGGGATACCGAGTTCTGGACACCTTAGCAAGATCTATACCATAAACAACATAAACACAATGCATCTTTCTACGCTTATTCTACTGCCGGCTCTGGCTGCGGCACAGGAGCAGGTTCCGTTTGCAGAACGCCTCCAGGGATGGTTCAACCAGGCCAAGGAGCTGCTGCCTACTCCAAAGGTCCCCCAGGCTGTCGCACCCGTCACTACTCCTGCTCCTCCAAAGGCTGCCGTCGTAAAGCCAAAGACAGTTTCCCAATTCAACCCAGACAACTGGAGGGATATTCTTACACCTCAATCAAACCCACAGGAATGGTTGATCTTTGTCACTGGTGGTAACAAGACCTGCTTCGGACAATGCGGACAAGCAAACCGCGCCTGGAAGGTTAGTCGCAATGCAGAAGCGCAAATTCCATCGCCCACTACACAGTTGTACTAACAGAGGTACTCTTTTGCGCATCTTTTAGGAAGCACAAAACCAGTTCGCCCTCGATTCCCAGTCTCCTAACCTTGGACGTCTTAACTGCGAAGCTCAAGGTCTTCTCTGCGCCATCTGGTCCGTTAGCCCACCAATGCTATGGCACATCCAGGTCCCCAGTACGCCAGCCATTGGCGAAGAGAAGCCATTGACTCCCATTCACCCCTTCCGTCTGAATGCTACCACTGTCACCGCCGACGATATCTACAAAGTACACTCTGAGAAGCTCTGGGAGAAAGAGCCTGAGCTTCAGACCATGTTCCACCCATTCAATGGCCTAGCTGCCGAGTACCGCATCAACGAGGCCGTTGGTTATATCATCTACTGCCTGGGTATGATCCCCAGCTGGGCCATGATGGTCGGTATCAGCTTTATCAGCAGAACCATGATGTAAGATTTCCCAACCTTTTCTTTTACACCGCAAAGCATGCGTGAAATAACGCTAACTCCACCAAAAATAGGAGCCGTAGAATGGGTCGCCCAGGTCAAGGTCCAGGTACCCCAGGTGGTGCCGCCCCTGCTCCCGCTCAATAAATAATAAGCCTAATGTCCCTACGCCTTTGTTCTATTTGTTCTAAGCAGGTTATTCCGAAGTCAGGCTGCCAACGGTACTGCCACTTTCTACTTGTTTCCTTTTTCTCGTCCTTGGGAAAAATTCTGGTCGGATTAATGTCTTTTGGGGGTAGATAATGGATGGAGATCATTTTATTTTCTTGTTATCTACTTGTGGTGGCGTGAGGTTTGCGCGTAGCCAACCCGACAGCCTCTATTAAAAAGGTTGAGATGTATTTTATTTATATTATCTTTCATAATCTATCATGAGTATCTCGCTATCTAATGTAAATAACTACTGCTTTGTCTGTCTTGTTATAATTTAACATTATTTTGTTGCCCTGCAGCGTTGTGCCTAGGTAGTTACTCCGTACCTAGCTTAGCTTGTTTTTGAACATCTCTTCGTTTGCTGATAATCTTCCGACTATACCACCATTCAGTCGCATAGCCAAAGTATTTAAACTACCGCACCATGGCACTTCCGGTCGATCGTCCTACGTCTACGGCAGCACTTGTGATCGCTACTTCAGTCCTTACTGGCGTGATTGGTTATTATCTCGGCCAAGGCGCATCGATCGGAATATTCTCATCCTCGCCCAGCCATGCTCATAAGGGAAAGTCGATAGCAGACGAGGACGACGAGGAGGAGGACGAAGAAGAAGACGAAGACGATATCGAGGGTGAGCTTGCGACATTCGAGGGGAATACAGATGAAGTGAAACTCGTTCTGGTCGTGAGGACGGACTTGGGGATGGGCAAAGGTATGCCTTTTATCAACTACGTTGAGCTTCAAATTTTCCCTTTCAACCGCAATATCAACTTCCCCGCGCAGGACTTATATAGGTAGTTGGCTAACTGCTGATTTTCATTTTTGTTCCAGGCAAGATAGCAGCACAATGCTCCCACGCTACTCTCGCATGCTACAAATATTATTTCAGCAAATCTCCGAATTCACCTATTTTAAAGCGCTGGGAAAGACAGGGCCAGGCGAAGGTTGCGTTACAGACAAAGTCAGAGGACGATCTACTAGTACTTCAGGCGCAGGCTATCAGTCTTGGGCTATGTGCTCGTGTGATCCAGGACGCAGGACGAACACAGATCGCGAGCGGCAGTCGAACCGTGCTGGGAATATTAGGTCCGAAGAGCGTAGTAGACTCGGTTACGGGACACTTGAAGCTGTTGTAAATGATAACGATTTATTAGCCACAAAGAAAAGTATTTACGAGAAGAGAAAACTTCGGATTGCGGACTGTATGTTGGCTGTCATGGTTTTTCCCTAACCTCACCAACCGACGGCCATCGGCAAAGAGAGATGGAATATGACGCCCACAGCAGGCCCGGGCCATCTCACCGAGCTCACCCGAAGGAAGCTCAAGGCAGAGTGTTATAATCCCAGCGCTGAATCTTCATCTGAGATCTGTCGACCGGAAATTGACATCATGAGAAAAACGGCTATACACCAGATGGATGGCTCCATGGGTCGTCGAACTGTCAAGCAATACGACCGAAACACATCCAGACTAGACGCGAACGAATAGCTTCATGGAACGGGATCGCAGGACACAGATCTGTTGTTTGGTAAAAGAAGAAGAAGAAGAAAGCAGAAAAATATTTCGAGAATTTTTAGGTTTTTTATATTTTGATATTCGGAGTGGAGAATAGTTATCTCCGTGATGACATAAGCGCCTAGGCATCGACCGATGGAAGCTTCAAAAGTTGAAAGTTGAAGAAAGGCGGATTGATAGATTGGAGGAATTTGATAGTTGACGCTGTTGGTTATATCTACGGTCGGTCGTTACCATGGCGGACGCACTCTCTATCGAGCAGAACAACAAGATCCGAGTTGCTCTCGGTCTTGCGCCGCTCCCTGTCCCCGGCGCAGCTAACGATGGCCCGGCGTTCAAGTCCGCAGCTGGCGATGAATCCGCGTCGTCTGACGGCGAGGAGCCGGCCAGCACACTAGAGACCCGAGAAGCACAGGGCTACGATAACTGGAAAGCTATCCAGGAGGGGCGTGAGGCACAGCAGAAACGAGAGGCCCGAAAAGATGCTATTCGACGAGCCCGAGAGAACGCGCAGCGGATGGCGAAGCTGGAGGGCAAGGGACTCGGCGAAGGTGGTGACGATGCAGAGCTGGATACACGATCATGGCTGATGCAGCATAAGAAGAAAGAAAAGAAGATTGAAAAGGAGCGCGCCAAAAGACTTGCTGAAGAGCTCGCGGAACGAGAACAGCAGATGGCGGAATATACCTCGAAAGACCTGGCTGGAGTACGAGTTGCGCATGAAATAGGCGACTTTGACGACTTTGATGAGAGTGGGGAGAAGGTTCTTACGCTCAAGGATACCACTATTGACGAAGATGAGGAAGAAGGGGCTGAGCTGGAGAATATACAGATGCGAGAAGGCGAGAAGACGAAGGAGAGGCTGGCGCTGAAGAAGAAACGGGTGGCATATGACCCTAACGATATGGATGGGAGTGGTACTATTCTATCACAGTATGATGAAGAGATTGATGGGAAGAAGAGGAAACATTTCACGCTTGCGTCGGGGGAGCTTACACCACAGGCTAGGGAAGCCAAGCGGCAGGATGTGTCGTCGAAGCTAAAGATGGAGCCCGTTCACTTGGACGGACTGCTGGAGAAAGAAGTTGCTGGATCGGACTACATGGATGCCTCGGAGATAAAAGTGAGGAAACCCAAGAAAAAGAAGGCCAAGAGTACCAGGAAGAGACATGTTGAGGAGGATGAGGAAACACCTACACCCGCCGCTCCATCCGATACCAATGGTGACCAGATGGAGATGGACGGGGGAGGGCCGGAGAAGATGACCGCTGGGCCCACTGTCCCGGCTAAACGGCCGCAGGAAGATATCTCATTTGTCGATGATGACGATCTACAAGCTTCTTTGGCTGCTCAGCGGAGAGCAGCGTTCAAGAAGAGAAAGAAAGTTCGCCCTGAAGACCTTGCTCGACAGCTCAGAGAAGAGTCTGAGCAAGCACAAAACGCAATGGATGTTGATGGAGCTGATGGAGATGAAGGTGGCCTGATCTTGAACGAAACCTCAGAGTTTGTTGCCAATCTTCAGAAGCCGGCGCTACTTGAACGGGCACGCTCAGCGTCGCGTGAACCTACAGCTGCTACTGCTGAAACTCCAGCCAATCCGCCGCATGCACTACAACCCACAGTGGAAGAGGAAGCTTCTGATGTGGAGATGGAGCCGGCGTACACCGTGGTCGAACAGGAGCAGACGGAGAGGCAGTCGGCAGAACCACAGGCAGACATCACGGCCACCGGCCTAGAGGAAGAGTCAACACTTGACCAAGGCCTGGGCGCAACTCTAGCCATGCTCAAACAGCGTGGGCTTGTGACTGCAAATGAACAGGACGGCCGGTCTATCAACGCCTTGCACCGCGACCGCCAACGCTTCCTGGCTGAAAAACGCCGCCGTGAAGCCGAAGCAGAACGCCTTGCCAGAGCTCAGCGAGAACGAGACAGAGCCTCGGGTAAGCTCGACCGCATGTCTGCCCGGGACCGTGAAGAGTATGCTCGCTGGGAGAACAAGCAGCGTGACCAGCTTGAGTCACGGGCGATGGCGGACGTGTTCAACCGCGAGTACAAGCCTGACGTTCAGCTGAAGTATGTTGATGAATTTGGCCGCCGGATGAACCAGAAGGAGGCGTTCAAGCATCTCAGTCACCAGTTCCATGGCAAGGGAAGTGGGAAGATGAAGACTGAGAAGCATCTTAAGAAGATTGAGGATGAGAAGAAGAGGGAGGCTATGAGTACGTTGGATAGTAGCCAGAACACAGGCATGAATAATGCTATGGGAGCCACGGCGAAGAAGAACCGCCAGGCTGGCGTGAGACTTGCGTAGATTAGTCTTGTCTATAATAGTAATATACCATTTTGTACTTTTTTTATCCTTCCTTTATCCTTACTTTTAAGATGTTTTTCCTTGTAGATGGTTAGTATGGTTTGTACCCCTTTTCCTTGCGCTGTTTGGTAGGCCGTATAGACGAAAGCTCGGCGGATGGAGCAGACTCCTCCTTCCACAGCCTTACATGACCGTCTTCACCGCATGTATAGACCGTCCGTGACTGTAGCAGTTAGTATATAAGCAATAGAAGAAATAGCTAGTAGACAGGATGCTAACCTCGCTGTCAAACAGTACTGAACGAACTACTTCTTCCCCATGAGCGCCCGGCAGCATCCACGAATTCGACTGCTCAAAATGAAACTCCGGCGTATGCACCAGCGGCGTCAATGATAGACTTCGATCACTGCGTTTACCATTCATTAGCATGGTCTTGAAAGTACAGAAGTAGTAGGAGAAGGGAACCAACCTTGTCCTGCCGGACGCAACATAGCTCCCAGCTGCATCAACCAGAACCTGCACCACATACTCTGCCTTTAGCACTGGCCGCAAATCCCCAAACTCAACGGCCTTGACCTCATTAGCGGGGGTATTGTCTTCATCTGCAGAGGTTACTGGATGGATGGAGAACATCTCATCATGAGACAGGGCGTAGACTGCCTTATCTTGCATGAACCCTGCATGATGTATGGAAGAATGTTTGACTACTTGTACCAAAACATCCTCTTCCTCGGGGACTGTGGTATCATATATGTTTACCAGGCCATCCGTGCTGCCTGATAGGAGTACTGAAGGGCGAGATGGGTGAAATTGGATCTGTGGTTATGGGCGTTAGCAAAGCATTGATATGAGGGTTCCATGGCGCTTTTTACCTCTGTGACATCGTCGTTGTGACTTTCAACGTACTGACGACATGTCTTTCCTGGTGATCGCATGTCCCTATTTCGTGTTAGTTGTCCGTACAGCAGTAGTCCCTTTAATATCTGGGGTATATGGGTAGAGATATACCAAAATAGGACAAAGGCGTCTGGCTTTACCAGCTCCGTGCCAGCAACAATTGAATGAGAAGACGCATTACAGGCCAACGAGAGCAACGGCATGCCTTTATCTACTCCAATTAGCATCCATCTATCCACAGTCAAGTCAATAACTAAGGGGTATATGGGTGTACCGGCTTGAAAGACAGCTACGGTGCCAGCCCGGCGAGCGTCCCAGAGCTTGACCGTCCCGTCCTTCCCGCAGGTCGCCAGCAGCCCATCACCAGCAGCACAAAGCGAGCTGACGCCCGCCGCATGGGTCTCCTTGACCAGTCCGTCCGGCAGAAGCGCCAGGGAGCTGCGGTCGAAGCGGCGTAGCGAGTTATCTGACGAGATGGCTGCAAGGGACGCCGGGCCCGCCGCACAGAGCTGGTAGATGTAGCTCTCGGCGGGCAGCGAGAGGGAGGAAGACGAGCAGCAGCGGAGGTTCGGCATGATCTGGATCCTTCAGCTGGAGGATTCTTGTTTAATTATGGGTATTATGGGTATTGTTTGAGGCTGCTGCTGCTGCTACCGCTCACTAATAGTGATGATGATGATGATGATGTTTATCTCTCCGTCCAGCGAGATTTGTTCCTTTTCTGTGCGGGAAGAAAACGCTGCAACGTCTCCGCCGCGACTACAACAACTACGCAGCTATGACTACAATCAGCTACAGAATAATTACGAGACTCGACGATAGACGGAGGTCGAGATGGTCGACTACGCGAGTTGAAGTAAGTGAAGATGATGTGCAGGTTCTGCAGCTGACTGCAGCCTCAGTTACAGCGTCAGCCACAGCCATCTGGCGGCCCTACCAGCAGCCAGCAGCATCGAACTGCAGCTTTGCCACTGCGAAGAAGAAGAAAAGACACCGCAGATGCAGGAGAAGAAGCAAAAAAAAAAAAAACAAGAGGCAGAAGAAGAAAGGAAAAGAAAAAAAAAAAAGAGGAGCGGAAAGCCACCCCGTCTGCTGGTACAATCCCTCTGCACGACTCGCTTGCCATGGAACAGACCCCGGCTGGCTGAAGGAGGAGGAAGAACGAAGCCCGCCCAACCTGCTCTGGCTCGAGCTGTTTGTCCGGTTCAGCTGGAAAGCGGAGTGATTGACATGGACAACTGCACTGCAACGCAGCGAGTGACTTGCCTGAGTGACTTTGTGACTGCTTATTGTCCTCGTTCGAAGTAGCGAGTTAGTCCCAGACTGCGCTGGCTGGCATGCCACGGGTGTCCAGCGGGTTGGTCCAGTGGCAGCTCGTCTCATCCGCACTCGCCCTCGGTTTCAGCATCGGCCCTGTCTGTCTGGTTTGTCTGGTCGACAAGTGCCGGATCAGCAGCTAACTAGGCCAAAGGAGAAAAAGGCAAAACAGGCAGGGCACAAAAGGCAAAGCACAGCAAGGTGCAGAGTGGAGGCGGGCCGGTCCAGCCAGAGAACGATAGGGAAAAAAAAGGGCGAAAGAAACGAGAGCGAAGAAAAGGGAAGGAAGGAAAAAAAGGAAAAAGGACGAAGAATAAGAATAATGATTATGATTATGATCATTAATATTGCAGGCGAGGAAGAGAGTATCTATCATATCCTCTCTCTCTCCAAGGCCCCCCATGTCCTGCCGGGTTGACTGACTGATCCATGTCATGCTGATGATGGACAGACAGGCTGGGTTCTTCACGGCGTAAGGGCCCAACACGCGACAGACGGACGGACAGGGAGGCTAAGAAAAATGGACAAGAAGCACCAGCAACAAGCGGCATTCAAGGTCAGTCTGACCCGACGAGGGCGAACTGGGCACAGAAAACGAGGGAGGGATGACTTGGTCGGTGGATATCTAATTAATAACTACTGGATGGCTCGAGATGAAACGCAGCTGGCGGTCAGTGGAGCAGAAGGACGGTGCTCATAAGTAGCAGAGTGAATATTATAATGGACGAACACCACTCCATACATACTCCATATATGCGCTGTCTGTTATTGCCCTGCCTGCCCGGCTCTCCTCTCCTCTCAGAAGGGAAGATGCATGCATGAGGGAGAAGTGCTACCGTTCGGCTGGCCGGTGGCACCAGGACAAAGCGGTTCTACTTATTATTATATTAATTGCCATTATAGAGCAGACGGACAAGAAGAATAGGGATCCTTTATTATTATTTACTTTACTTTAGTTTAGCCAGCTCCGCCATCCTCCTCGACGGCTTTATCTTGTTTGTCTTTGTAAAGCAGCAGAAGAAGAAAAATACGGGGCGTTGGCTTTTTAGCGCGAGCGTTGCTTCTTCCGCCCGCCGACTAGACAGGGAGCCTTGCCTCTCCTCTGCATTCACTCTCTCTCGCTCTCGCTACTCTCTCACTACGCTCTCTCTCACTCTCACTCTCTCTCTCTAACACTCTCGCTACCCTTACACTCGTTCAAGATAAACACAGACGGTGCAGTCGAACTCGCTCGCACTCAGACTAGACCGCTTGACCTGCTTCTGGCCCCGTCCTAGGATGTCGAGCTGCCTCTATCCCCCCTAGACCGACCTTCGCAGCAGACGGCGGACCAGCAAGCACCCAGAACGCCCACGACAGACCGACCAGCAGGAATAAACACACCAGGACCCTGAAGAACGACCGACCGAGGAGACGAGGAGTCGAGGAGACGAGGATGGCTCTGGCAGTGCCGGACGGCGGCCTGACGCTGCACCGCGACGCTGCGTCCTCCCAGTTCCTCCGGCTCAACCTCCCCCAGTCGACCCTCGCAGACCTGCTCCAGGTGCTCAACGACCCGTCTCTGCCAGCCGCCGCTGCTCCTCGTCTGCGGCTGGGGAAACGCCCGTCGCTGCTCATAAACTCCAAGTCGACGCCCTTCCACGCCTATCCCCAGACCTCTCGCTCGGAGATATACCAGCACGGCGGCAGCCAGGGCCAGAGCCAGAGCCAGAGCCAGAGCCAGGATGCCGCTGCCGGCGCAGACGGAGGCCTCTACTTCTCGGGCGTGCTCAGCCATAGCCTGGAGGTGCAGAAGGCCAAAGAGGCCACTGCGGCCACCGACGAGGCCCTCACGAACCTCGAGCGCAGCCTCAACGCCTTCGAGAAGGGCAAGGAGTCTCGCCGGACTCCCCTGATCGCTACCATTGACCAGATGCGAGCCCTCGGCGCCGGAGACAGCAGGTCGGCCACGGGCAGAGAGGCCGCCAGTCTGGCCAGAAAGTCGACCAGCAGAGCAGACCAGGAGAAAGAGCGCTTCTTCAAGAACGCCAATGCCTCTCGATCGACGCCTGCGAGCCCGGCACTCGTTCCTCTCTCGCCTCTGCCGCCGGCCGCTGCTGGTGCTGCTGCTGGTGCTGCTGCCACTACTACTACGGACAAGGAGAACCAGCGCCTCGAGGCCATTCGGACACCGCTCATACACCTGCTCGCCATACGGCCCGTTTCGGCCAAGTTTCTCGCTTCTCGAACGCGCTGCAACAATGCGGATGTGCTCGCCCTGACCAACAAGCTATGCACTCCCAACCGGCTGGACGGGTCCAAGTTCGATCTCAAGGATAAAGTGTACAAGGATCTTGACGTCTGGTCGTTTCCTTACCCGTCGGACGAGGAGAGGACGGAGGCGATCGAGAATGCCATCTCTGCCTTTGACCGGATGCGGATTTCCAAGGCAGACCGGCTCTGGCAGACTTTGCTGCCCAAGCATGAGCGAGGCAAAGGCAAAGTGCTCTCTCGGCTCAATCTACGCACCCAGCCCCAGGGCCAGGCCCAGACACAGCAGCAACAGTCTAGACTACAGGTTCCAGAAGAAGGCGGGTACGGCACCGGCAATGAGTCCGAAGGCCCAACGGCCCTAGACCAGTCCATGGCCACAACAACAACCCCAACAATCCCACACCACGCTCCAACTGCCAAACCGGCGGCCAAGAAGAGAGGAGGCCTGGAAAAGGCACTCTCTTCCAAGAGGGGGCCCAAACCAAAGTCTACGCCCGCTGCCACGCTCACGGGCAAAGTGACCAAGAAGACAGAGAAGAAGACGCCAGCGGCCGGTTCTGCGGCGTCGCTCAAGTCGAGGGATGCTGACCGATTCAAGTCCTCCGAGTTCATCCTCGACTCGGACGAGGAAGAAGCGGCGGCTAACGGTATCGTCGCCAGCAGCAAGCCTACCCTCGCAGCCACAACAACAAAAACAACTACCACCACTACCACTACCTCGACTGCCCAGCGCGGCCGGCCGCCAAAGACAAAGAAAGTGCCCGCCAGACGACAGCCCCCTGCAGCCATATCCGCTCCGACTACATCAACAACCACACGACCGGCCAATGTGACTTCACCACTGAAGCCGTCTCCTCTAGGCTCGTCACCGCCTACCAATGCCTCCGACGTCGACGTCCCCAGCGCCCGCCCGTCCAGCACAAAGTCTCGCCCTCACTCCAATTCACACTCGTCCAGCTCTTCCTCACCCCTGATACACCATCTCCCCCGAAAGATTCCACCGGCACAACCGGGAAAATCTCGACCAACACCCCCGTCCACGGCAACCTCCACCTCCACATCAGCATCCACCTCCGCATTACAATCAGCGTCGACAGCACCCGCCAAGCCAGGCGCGCTCAAGCGAAAAACCCGCCCGGCTGAAGATACCCGACCTCCACCGGCATCTTCGACATCCACCACCGCCGCCATCGGCCTTGGAATCCATGCATCCGAACCTAAACGCCGCCGCCCATCCTCCATCTCCTCAACAACGACCTCTTCCCTCTCCCAGCCTGAATCAATGCCCTCGGTCTCAGGCTCAGGCTCAGGTTCCGGCTCTGCATCTCCCCCCATCTCACAAACCATCCTGCGTGCCCGACTACGCACCAAATCAGCCCAGTTCAAACAGTACTATGCCAAATACCGGCTTTTGCACGAGGAGATGATGGCCCGCTCACGAAACGGAATGGACTATGACATTGATATCGAGCAGATTCGCAAACTGGAGAGACAGCATGCTCATCTGCAGAAAATGAAGCAGGAGATCTGGGACGAGGATCGGAGGTTACGCATGTCTTCGTAGTTGGCCTTTTTTTTTTTTTTTTCTCTTCTAAAAACTCCTTCCTTTTTCTTCACCATTTTCCTTATCTCATGTTTGACCATATTTCACTTTCCTTGCCATTACCATTCAGCATGATCTGCCTGCGTGTCCATATGCTTGTTCACTTTCCCTTCTGTTTCTTTTCATGTATCGCCTATCTACCTGCCTGGGAGTAAATTCATCCATCCATCCATCCATCCGCTCATCGTTGCTCTACTTTTTCTTTACGCAGCTAGTTTTAAGAGCCAGGAACAAAGACTAAAACCTACCATCACACAACCACATCACCATGCACGACCCCAACTAAGTTACATCTCAACTAACTTCCGTTCGCTCGCTCGTTCCTCGCTTCGGCCCATCGTACAGACCATACTTCGTGCCTATACTTAGTTCACCGTGTGCCGTCCACCGTTCAACAGCCCATCGTACATCGTGCCACGCCGACGCAACCCTTTCCCTCTCCTTTCCCCCCTTTCCCCCCTTCCCCTCTCGCTGTACCGCCCAGCCAGGCCCTCGATGTAACTCTGCCTGACTCGCCTTTTATCCCCCGATCCCATATTAATAGCACAGGTGATAATGTCTGATCTTAGCTAGTCGCAACTTAATTCAGCATTGCCGAGCTGCGCCGATGAAGCATCGCCTTGTTCCCTCCATACATACATACATACATACATACCTAACTTTACCCGCCCCTCCCGCTTTCTCATCTACCACATGCCGTCGCCTGTTCCACGCCTGATATCATGCTGTCGTTCTGGCTGGCTGTCCTGGCTGTCGCTGTCGCTGCTTGTGTTATTCGTCGAGGCCGAAAAGCAGGGAATAAGGTTACCCCACGTGCCACGAGGCGGGACCGGGCGGCCGGGACCCGCGTTCCGGTCTTTTTCGTTACGCCGATACGCACGATACGCGGAGATAGGTATTGTGCCTGGATCGGGGGCGTTCTCGAGGCAGCGGAAGATTGTGTACGAGGCACGGTTGACGAAAAAGGATGACGAGAGGGATGACGAGGAGGGCGGCAGGAGTAAGCAGAGATTTGGTCGATGAGGGCTGAAGGGCGTGAAGGGTGAAAGGAAGACGGAGTGGAAGACGCGGGTGATATGCTGCTTAGGTAAGATTAGTGAAGGAAGTCACATGATGAATAGTCTACACGTGATATACTCTAGTTGTGTCATGTGATCATTAATAAGCAGAACTTAAATTTGACTTCCGCCGATAAAAAGTTGAACAATAATAATGAACACTTGGATCCATTATTATTGTCAATGACGTGGATGCAGAGATAGATACCGATGTTGATGTTGATGTTGATGCTGAAGACATGCGGTGGAAGAATAACCATGGCATTGCTCTACTCAGGAATATTCATTCCGCTCATCTGCGAGGAATGAGATTTCTCTCTCTCTCTTCTCAACCTCACCCTCAGCTGTTCCTGGAGAAGCCGGATGGTACCGGTATGTCATCATACATATGCATGTCTCAAGGATAGACATGCCGAGATCCAGCATCATCCCACCCACGCCTAGCAGCTCTTCTGATTTCCCTGGTAGAAGTTCCAGCCACAGAACACGACATGTTCGCATATCGCCGACATCGATGGCTGTACGTCCGTCTATCTTCCTTCCTCTGTCCGGAAGCTGGGCTGGCACCTGACCAAGTCTCGATTTCGACCTTTTTCTAGATTCAATGAAGACAAGGAACTCGCGTTGAGATACCGGCAATTCGATATCCAGAATCTGATTAAAGTTGCTGTCCATGCTGTCGGCGATCATGCACGCTGCTGTATGTAGCAATTATACCCTTGCTTACATGCATTTGAGCGGAACAGCGTGTAAGCTGACATGTTATTTCCCCTGACTTACCCTGGCCTACCCGAACCAGGCACAAAGATACTCAAGTGCGCTGAAGGCCTTCATAATAAAGCCTTCCTCTTAACTCTTGATACCGGGCACGAAGTATTTGCCAAGCTGCCAAATCCCAATGCTGGGCCCTCGCGATATCTCACGGCCTCAGAAGTGGCCACGAGGGAGTTTGTTGGTTTTCTTGTTTTCTCATTAGTTTCATATCAGATTTTGCTAGTCTTGTGAATCTGATTGTGCCTTTTCATAGCTGCGTGATATAGCCAACTTGCCTGTCCCGAGGGTTCTTGCATGGTCAGCGGATCCAGCCAACCCCGCCGGGGCGGAATATATCATTGAGCAAAAGGCCAGTGGGATCAGGTTAGGTAGAGTATGGCATGAGTGGCCGCGGAAGTCGAAGTTACATATAATAGAACAGATTGTCAAGTTGGAAAATACCCTGACTTCTTTCAAGTTCTCGAAGCATGGCTGTCTATATTTCAGGGCTGACCTGCCGGATCCATTCCGTGGAGAGGCTGGAGGCTTGCTGCTTGGCTCCGACTCTACTGTGGGCCCGGAGGTTCTAGATCGATATGCTATCGGCCCACTTACTGGGGCGGAGCTTTGGAGTGCTGAGCGTGAGAAGATGGAGTTAGATAGAGGTCCTTGTGGGTTATCGTTTTACTCCTACGATTAAGCGCTCGTTAACAACTTGACACAGGGCAACGGTCAGAAGACTATGCAAGAGCTATGGGGGAGAATGAAATTGCTTGGATAAACCGGCATGCTTCCCCACGAATAAACGCGTATATATCTCTAAAAGACCCAGAATTACCTGATCGTGCTCTTAACCTTCTGGCTAAATACTTGGATGCCGCACCTTACCTTATACCTCACGACCTGGCCCCATGTGCAAACATCCTCTGGCATCCAGACCTGCATCTGGATAACGTCTTCGTTGACCCAACAACTTGTGAAATCACAGACATAGTCGACTGGCAGGGTGCAGGCATAGCACCTCTCTTCTACCAATCATGCATACCTCGTATGTTCAAACATGATGGCCCCGTCCGTGAGGGATGGATCGTCCCATCACGTCCGGACAACTTTGACACTTTAACCCCGGAGGAACAAAGTCAGCTTGACCGGAACCTTGAAAAGGAAACTGTTCACAAATACTACGAGGCAATGGTATGCAAGCATTCCCCCCGCCACTGGGAGGTTTTGAAAGACATGAGATATATACAGCGCAAACGGAGCCCTACCAGTCTCGTCACCGGGGTCTGGGAGAATCGTGACATATTCTTCCTGCGTCAAAGCTTGATTGCTATTGAAGCTCTGTGGGATAAGCTACGGCCAGACGAGACAGTTGAGGCTCCAATATCGTTCACAAGAGAGGAGTTAGACCTTCATATGAAGGAAGATGAAAATATCTCTGGTGTTGGGAGTATGCTAAAACTCTTTCGTGACCAAGGGGTTCTTCCTGACGATGGGATGGTAGACCCAGAGGACTATGACACTGCAAACACCAATTGTCAGAAGTTCAAAGATATATTCATCGGGCTTGCGAAGGATGAACAGGAAAAGGAGCTTTTCTCTAAGCTGTGGCCATATCAGGATAAGGAATAGTTTCATACCTTTGGGTAGAATGATATCTCTAGCAACTTCACTCTTAGATTGATGTACAATATATATAACATTATAAAGAGAGTCAACTGTGTTCGAACAAAGAGAAAAGCCTCACAGATATAACAGTAAATGCCTCAATCAATCTATCAATCTATCGAAATAGTCGCCTCTGCGGCTTCCAATTTGCATTATGTAAGCGACAATAAAGCCGGAACACGTGACACTTACTAAGCGCTATCTGTACTATAAACTTGCTGTCTCTCCCTTGCATGTTTTGTATACGCCGTTTGCGTCATACACTTCGGTTTCACGGCGACGAAGATCAGACAGATACCAGGTTAGCGACCGGTTCGGAGGAGGAGGGCATATCCAATTAGCTATAAACACCCTAACGATGGCGCCCAAGGGCCCAGGGACAAGCAAACGAAATCCCACCGTCTTAGTATGCGACCCAGCAAGCACCTTTCCTCAACGATCAGCAAACTGACACCTGCTCCAGGTAACCGACTCTAGAGACCGTCAAACAAGGTACTACCCGGCCTCACGGACGCCGAATAGTAGTAGCGCAAACGATATCCCTATTGCGGGCCCGCCTAGTTCTCGCCTCATAACCGTCGATAATGTCCTCCAGTACGCCTCAGATTTGCCCGCGATGCAGCAACGTGGACAGCTCGGCCAGCGAGGCCCAACTGTTGGAACAAGTTCTGCCGTGCGCTCTCGGTCTGGCTCAGGATCAGAGAGCAGGTTAAGATCCGGTCTGAACGCCGCTAGCAACGCTCTTAGCTCGAGTATGGATAGCAGACACCGAAGCGGAGGCCGTTTGGCCTCTTTACCGCAAATACCGCCTCGTTCATCCAAAGTCAGCGAGAAACTAGTTCTTCTTCCAGAGACAGTGGAGGAGGAAGAAGAGGAGGAGGAGCAAGAAGCAGAAGAGGAGGAAGAGGACGAGGATGATGAAGTTGCGGATGACGAAGGCACGCCTTCGAAGATAAATGAGAGATATGAACGATTACGACGCTTGACTGCTGCCCGCGCGAAGCAGCCGGATTTTACACAGGATAATATGGCTGCGCCGCTCCTTGATAATGAAGAAGCTATTCGAAAACGCAGATTCGCCGCGAGCCCTGAGAAAGGGAAGAGTTATGCTGAGCGTCTACCCAAGGCTCGAAGAGGGAAGAAGTTGCCTCGCGTAACGGCATATTGCACTGCTCAGGCGTATAAGATGGGTGCTGCGGCAAGCTTTGTCAAAGAACTCCACGATGCGCGCACAAAGTTGTATGATGACTGCTTATACGCCGCATACCATCTACCCTTATTACCTGGTCGAGACGGGTATAGGGTGAGAAGTAGCCCTATCTTCCGAAGTGCAGAGGGCAAAGTAGTCCTAGACGAAGAGATTGCAAGGAATGAGAGAAGGGATTACCACGATGAATACTTTACAGAGACAGAGGAGCATTCTGTTCGAAATTCAGAGGAGCAGGAGAGACGTGAGCGCCGCCGTGAGCAAGAACGGGACCGGGAGGAGGAGGATGGCCATGAGCGTGACCATACACACGATCACGAAGTTGGAGCAGAGCGAAGTAATGGACGACGCCAGGAAGAAAGAGATACACCAGTCCGTGGCCATTCATTCCATGTTGAACATCACGACGATCAACCCTCAACTCAAAACGGTGACATCCGACAGCCTACCTCTCCGGTCTCCACTAGACAATCCAGACCCTCAATACCTCCCAACGCCCTCTCCTTTGCAGAAATGTTCATATTCAGCTACGGGGTTGTCGTCTTTTGGAACTTCACAGAGCGTCAAGAGAAGGAAATCCTCGCAGATCTCGCATTTTGCCCTGCACCAAATGACCTACCGCTTAACCCTCTGGCGGAAGAAGATTTCGAAACAGAAGAGTTCCACTTTGAATACTCTTCCGCTATCTCTAGACCCCGAGTGTATAATGATATGATTACATTACGATCAGGGGATCATATGATTAAACTGGCTATCAGTCACGGCATAGCGCAAAGCACAAAGCTCAGTTTCTTTGAGGAGGGCATGGCGCGACAAATGGCAGATGCAAAGGATGTGCCGAGACGGTTAGCTTTGACGGGCCATCTAGGCATGGGCAGAGAAGAAGTCTTCCGTATCATGGGCAGGTTATTCAAATCGCGTGTTGAAGTCAATCTCTGTAAGCATGCCCTTATCATTCTCTTCATGTACGGATTTATACTAATGAAACTCCTCCAGCTTCGAACATGCTCGACGTGCCCAATTTCTTCTGGGATAGCGAACCGATGCTTCACCCCCTGTACATCGCTGTTCGCGAATACCTAGAGATAAAACCTCGCATTCAAGTTCTCAATGAACGATGCCGAGTCTTCCTCGACCTTATTGAAATCCTCTCTGATTCTATCGCCGACAATAAAGTGTCCAGCCAGACATGGATTATCATCATTCTGATTTTCATTTCCATCATCGTTACCCTATCTGAGGTGGTGCTGAGATTTGGCATTCTATCGACCAAGAAGGGAACTCAGAGTAAGATGTTGCTAGACCAGGGAAAAGCCAATGGTATGAGTATTGGTATCTAGCTCCGTGAATGTATTTTCCTAATATTTGTTGCCGGTTTCTTGCTTTTTCATATGCGACATGTTTGTCAGATGGATGGTTGTTTGCTTGGTTTAATTGTAAATTGCAGCTGTGGTTTGTTTTTTCCTGCAAGCGTTGACGTTTAATACCACATTTGTCTTTACTTTTTCCTTAATTTGATATCACTGTGAGGCTTAAGTTTTACAGTATTGCAAATTTACCGACAGAGCAATATAATTTGGTTGAACACTTAGTCTCAAATTTCCCATCAAATGCTTGATTTACATATTATCCAAAGCATCATGAGCTGAGACAGGAAGATAAATCCTGCTTGGGATCGCTCTACTTCTTAGTGATGTGGACAGACTGAGCATTGCAGTATCCCATCATGCCACCTAATCCTCCTTCGTACCCAATACCGCTCTCCTTGTGTCCACCAAACGAAGTGTTGTTGCTCAGTTCAGCGTGGTTGTTGACCCACACACAGCCGGCTTCGAGCTGGTCGGCAATACGCTGGGCACGTTCTATATCTTTTGACCAGACAGAAGCACCAAGACCCATCTTAGTGTTGTTAGCTTCCTTGATGACGCTTGCCTCGTCATTCCAGGTTACAATTGGGACGATTGGTCCTGAAAAAGTAGTGAGTTAGTTGGCTTGCGGAGTGGGACATTATGGTATAGTATACTCACCAAATGGCTCCTCGGTAACGATACGTGAGTCAATTGGGGGCCTATCGATGATGGTAGGCTCGACGAAGTAGCCCGGTCGGCCAAGATCACTTCGGCCACCAGTGGCAACGGTCCATTTCTCCTTTTCGATATCGGCAAATAGGTTCTTTACCTTGTTGAACTGCATCATGTTTTGAATAGGGCCATGAGTAATGCCTTCTTCGTCACCGGGCCCAACCTTAAACTGTTTAACGGCTTCCACGAGAGCATCGCGGAATTTCTCGTGAATAGATTCGTGTACAAAGATACGCTTGATGGCGGCACAGACTTGGCCGGAGTGGATAAATGCAGTGAATGCGATCTGCCTTTATCAGTCCATATACCTAATTAAAGACTCTTGACATTTACACATACCTTTGGAATAGCTTTCTCAAAGTCCACATCTTCGCAGATGATGGCTGGGTCGTTTCCACCACTTTTTGAAACATTAACATCCATAGACAGGTTTTATACGGGATGAAATAGCTTACAGCTCTAGAGTGACTCTCTTCAAAGTCTTGCTAGCACTTGCCATCACTTTCTTTCCTGTGAAGGATGATCCGGTGAAACTGATCTTTGCTGGGCCAGGATGCTCCGTCAACATAGGTCCTAGTGTGTCATCGCCGCTAAGGACTTGAACGACACCAGGCGGGAAGAATTTCTGGGCAAGCTCAACAATTTTGAGATCTGTGTAAGGGCTGTAAGGGGATGGTTTAATGATGGTTGTGCATCCGGACATGACGGCAGGGCCGATTTTTTGACAAGCAATCATCAAAGGAAAGTTCCAAGGAACAATTCCAACAGCGACACCCAAAGGTGTGAAGCGCTGGATAACCTTCTTTTCTTCGGTGTCTTCAAGGACTGTTGGCTTTAACTCAAGCTTGGAATTGGCACGAAGGTTTGCGACAGCAGCTTGAATCTCGAAACCTGCGATTAGTTTCTATTTTACTCGTGGTTAGCCTGTATATACAATATTTGCCATACATAATGCCCATTCGCTGAAGAAATCAATATACTTACCGGCTTCCCTTGCTCACGAATAGTAAGGTCCAAGAACTGCTCTGCATGCGCCTCGATGGCATCTGCAAGACCAAGAACAGCCTTTGCTCTCTCTTCGTGGGAGGTCTTGGACCATGACTTGAACGCTTCCTGGGCAGCAGCCACGGCAGCGTCTACATCTTCAGCGGTTGAGATTGGGACCTGTGGATTAGGCTCGCCAGTGGAAGGGTTAAAGCTATGGCGAGTTACTGCCGCGGAGGTCAATTTGCCATTAATGACATTGCGAAAGGTGGTAAAATCAAGCTTGGCCGCCATGTTGGTATTATTCAATGAGCTTTTGGTATCCTACCTGAAGAAACATCAATCTGTCAACTGGGATGACAGGGCCCCTTTTATACGTATGAGCGGCGGGCCAGAGCTTTGTAGCAGCGTTTACACCGTTCCATAACGCGGGGCCTTGTAGTGGGGGTGCTCCCGTCCCGGACTTAAGCAGGCAGCACTGTACTCGCGTCTGATCTACGCATTGCTTGAGGGAGGAGCCTGGAGATGATCGAATAACTGGGATTAACTCCACCCATAGCGATGCGAAGGAGCATCATAATGGCCGAGGAGATGTTCATTGGATAGATATAGGGAGTCCAGAGTGCATCTCCATCTATCAACAGCCTAGGAACGCTGAAGGCCAAGTGTTCGTCCGTAGCGGACGATCCTTCGGCACCATCCTGGTCAGAATAAGTAGGGATCTTCGGAAAAGTGCAGGAGGATAATGAATCCTACTGCTGGCTCTTGGATAATTCTTCTGCATCCGGACTTGTGCAACACAGGGCCTTCTTGTCAAGAGATATCCCGTGTTCATAGTAATATAAAGATATAACATCCAACGTCGAGGTCGCGACAAAAGGAGAAATCCCTTTTGATAATGAGCCGGGCCCAGACAGCACCACGTGATTTTAAGCCTCGGCTGATTAATAACTAAATTCCACCAATCAACGAACACTATCACTTAACAAATAGAAGGAACAAGCGTGGAACTGAAATGCAGCCAGTCATGTGGGACGCTTAGACGAACTTATCCTTTTTAGGCTAGTTCGGTCTTGAGCTCACTCAACTTTAAATTGCTCGGGACTTCCTCAGCAGAGTTGATTACAGCGACTGCTGGCCCAACATAAAGACAGAGTGCTTGATAGCTATGAAATATTCACGATATTATGCCTCCCCCTCTCCGTGTGTTAACTCGAGGCTCGGTGTTGGTCGGCAAACGCGGTCAACGCTACGTTTTGCTTGATCCACTCGTTCAACGCAAAGGGAAACAGTGTAATGTCTGGAGCGCTGCAAAGCAGGATGACCCAATGCACCAGTTTGTCCTCAAGAAACCAGACGATGAAGATGGTCCCGGGTGGCCCGACTTCACTCGGGAGATGGAAATGCAGAAGCTGTTGTATAAATCTGGTTACATCCGTCGGATGGTTGATGTCATCCCGCCTCCTTCTGATACGGAGCCGCCAATCATGATTCTTGAAGCATTCGAGAAGTCGCTGTGGACCGCACGATTGCGGCGTCCTTTTTCTTTGGGGGAGATTCGATCTGTTATGAGATCTATCGCGATTGGGCTGAGTACTATACATCACAACAATATTGTGTATATAGGTCTGTCGCCTAGAACAGGTCTTAACATTAATGGACACTAAGTATATGCCAGACTTGAAGATGGAGAATATCCTTGTCAATGGGTTCGATAATGAGACTCCAGGCTCTGGTGAACATTTGGTGACTAAGATTGCTGATCTTGGGATGAGTATATTATTGCTATCTATCTTGCTATTATAAATGGATAACTGACTGAGAACTAGTGCGACCACCTTCCCAGGGCCCTATATCTGCAATTACATATCGCAGTCCCGAGGTATACTTTAAGAAACCCTGGACAACTGCAACAGATATATGGTCTTGGGGTATAGTGGTATGTCCTTTTATATCTATAACTCTTATGATGGACTATATTTATATTTCTTATAGTATCTACATCTACTTCAAGCCCATATTAATTTCGAAGAACCTGGGATATTTGACTCATTAAAGGTTGAAGGGACATTAATAGATAAGGAGAATACTATTCGGGCAGCTATGGGTCAGGAGTTTGATCTTCATACGATTGAGTATTATAACTCAGACCCAGATACACGACAACTACTGCCACCAAAGGATAAAACAAGGACTGAGCTTGATCATTGGGTAGTAAAGCTCATCAACAAGGACATCCCGGAAAAGGATATTCAGACAGTCCACGTCGCCCTCAATCCTGTTCCAGAGCTACGCCCCAGTGCACTTGAGCTTCTGGAGTATGGCTATATCTAAGGCCCTATAGCTTGGGACGCCGTTGGCTATACCACAATCAGGTCGGGGTTATCATTCGACGGATCACCAAATAGGTGACCACACTTTAACTGCGTCTAGTATGCCCGCAAGGCCCGGTTTGAGGATTTTACTAGAGTATGAGTCCTCCGATACCAGATCAATCCATTAAACAATACGCATTTTGTTGGTGACCCTATAAAAGCCTCAAAGTAAAGAGTTTCCGCGCAGGATCCAAATAGACGAATTGGAAAACAGATGTATCCGTGACTAAACCGAATACTGCAGAGCATAAGCAGCAGATGTAGCTGAGGAAGCCTGGGTGTGAAGAGTAGGCAGAGAAGAGAAGAGGTTGATTGATTTACATCCGCAGTTGAGGTCCAAAAGACGTCATGCAGCGATCTTAGTGACTAATTCTATTAGTAAGCACCTTAAGTGACTAGCGTTCCTTATTTTATTGGGGTCTGTTGTTCGCGCTATCTGGCCACTTTTGAGGCTATCAAATGCTTTCTTGGATCCCGAGCACTCTGTTTGTTCTTCTACAGTGACCACGCCGGTGAATATAGAATAGCGATTGCAGGCATACAATCGCGATGATTTACAGCCCTTGACCGAGCCTTCCTTTAGATATGATGATCTTGTCTTGGAGATGGCACTGTTTGGCCGTCCTCGCGTTAGGTTAGCTTCATACATCGCACCACTCCGGCCTTGCTTGAGATGCTAACGATTTGGCTGTGCTCACAGTGCTGTGCTTACAGGCCATAACGGCCGGAGCTCGAAATTTACGGGAGGACCTCACAAACCGAGAATCTAACCCTACGGACCTACCGCTCCCAGGCTCACTCGATGTTGAGAACCCAGTGGCTAGAGCGAGAGGCAACAATGCTCGCGAGTACTCTATCGGTAATTAAGGAACACCTCTGCACTTTTGTTGGAAGAATTACGGGTCTAGAGCTTTAGCTGAGCATTCTCTTGTAGATCAACCAGTTGTCGACACGGCATTGAACATCCTCCGCAAGATAAAAGTCCCTACCAAGAAATACGAACGTCCGTCTGGCATCTTTGGTCATGCGAGCTACTACGGCCGCGAGTTATTTTACCTTTTGTTTATGAATGCACCGTCATCGGATCAGTTGTCATCAAGTCGATTTACCAAGAAAAATGGGAAACTGGTGGAAGCAGTCCGGCTACTGGAGGGGGCTGCCCGTAAGAATAATTCAGATGCTACATTTCTCCTTGCCGAAATGAACTTTTACGGAAATTATACCCACCCACGCGACTTTTCAAAGGCCTTCCGATATTACGATGCGTTGGCGACCTTGACTGGAAACAGCACTGCGCAATACATGCTTGGGTTCATGTATGCAACTGGAATCGGCGGGGTTGTGGAACGAGATCAGGGCAAGGCGCTTCTATACCACACGTTTGCTGCCAGGGGTGGCAATACTAGGTCACAGATGACACTGGCATATCGGAGATACATAGGAATTGGAGCCGCTCCGGATTGCGATCAAGCGGTATATTGGTACAAGAAGGTAGCCGATAAGGCGATTGCATGGTATAGATCCGGGCCACCCGGCGGTATTAATTGGCGTCGAGAGGCCTTCCGTTGGGCTGATGAGGAAGGTGGCGTGTATGGTGAGGGAGCCAGTGTGTCTAGTGCTGGTTACAACGCGATGAGGGATGTCCATTCCAGTGCCGATGCGAGCCTGGATGATGTGCTGGAGTATCTTGATCTCATGGCTAAGAAAGGTGATACTAAAGCTACCTTTGGCCTTGGGAAGCTATATTATGAAGGATCGCGCCAGCTGGAAAGGAGCTACAAGAAGGCCATGATGTATTTCGTGGTAGTTGCAAGGAAATACTGGACCAAGGACGGCTCTATCAACCCAAGCCACCCACCAGGCATTGACAAGATCGCTGCTCAGTCTGCGGCCCATATTGGCCTGATGTTCCTTCGTGGAGAGGGCACAGAGCAGAATTTCCAAAAGGCCAAAGTCTGGTTTACACGAGGAAGAGCAAACGGTGATGCAATGTGCCAGCATTATCTAGGGCTGATGTACTTGCATGGCTATGGCGTCGAACAGGATGTAATGAAGGCCGCTTCATACTTTAAAGCCGCAGCGGAACAGGACAACTACTACTCCAAAACGCGGCTTGGAGCGCTGTTCCTTGACCAGGGTGATGTTGTCACGGCATCGATATATTTCGAAGCAGCCGCTCGGCATGGGGGTATGGAAGCCCTCTATTACCTCGCCGGAATTGCAGACCGGGGCCTTGGCGGACAGCGCCATTGTGGAGTTGCCACAGCATACTACAAGATAGTCTCCGAAAAGGCCGAAGGCATTCACTCCGCTTTTGCCGAAGCGAATGATGCTTATGAGATTGGAGACAAGGAGCTAGCTCTGATCATCTCTACCATGGCAGCAGAACAAGGGTATGAGAGCGCCCAGGCAAATGTTGCATACCTTCTCGACGAGAAGCGGTCTGTTTTATCCCTTGACCCGATTCTTCCATGGGTAAGGGGTGGACGCTCGTCCTTATTGCGCAACGCAGCCTTGGGGTTCATATACTGGGCCCGCTCTGCTAAACAAGCCAATATAGACTCGATGGTGAAGCTAGGAGATTACTACTTTGAAGGCTATGGCACAAAGAAAGATGTTTCTAGAGCGCTCACCTGCTATCATTCCGCAGCTGAAGGCCACAGTGCCCAAGCATTTTGGAACCTTGGCTGGATGTATGAGAACGGCCTTCATGTTGAGCAGGACTTCCCCATGGCCAAGCGGTATTATGACCTTGCCTTGGAAACGAACCAAGAGGCATATTTCCCAGTCACACTCAGCCTTCTTCGACTGCGTGCTAGGAATTTCTGGAATAAGGTGATACGAGGGAAGGCTAATACTATCAACGCAGAACCAGGTATGATTCTACTTCCATTTCCCAATCACAAGTAGCATGGCTAATGGGTACTAGATGTAAATACTCCACGGACATTTAAGGAGTGGATATCACACTTTATCAACTATAATGAAGAGGAAGAAGCATACCAGAGAGCACTCCGCCAACAAGCTGCTGCGGACCCTGACGCCATCCTAGATGAGGCCGGACATGCGCACGCTCAAGACCAAGATCTCAATTACTATGACGAGGAGTTTGACGACGGTATCCTAGAGAGTCTTATCATAATTGGGCTTGTTGCTACTCTGGTGCTTCTATTGCACTTCCGCCAACAGCGGGCGGCTCGTCGTGCCCAAGAAGCAAACAACGCCAATAATCAGCAACAAAACCAAGGGGCTGATGGTGCCGGCAATGCAGCAGAAGATAGGGGCTTCTTCCCACGACCGGATGACCCCAACTTTGCAGCGTGGGTTGCTGGAGGACTCGGACGGTAGTAGATTGTTGTGCCACATGTTTTACGCATATACCCGTTTTTATTCTTTCTGTTATTAGTAGCATGCATCACCTGGAGAATTTATACTGTTTGTTACTTTGAACAATAAGTCTTTGATCTTATTTTCCTGCGGGTGTCCAGCTTTGTTTACATTGGATTGGAAGGTCTGTACAGAGCCCCCTACATCGCCTTAGTAATCGCCCAAAGAGGAAATACAGACGTCGACTTCATCTCCTGCATTTTACTCTCGAAATATCCATACACAACAACATCAACATCATCACACGTCGCCTACAATACCACGAAAGGGTTCCAGTCTACACGCTGAATCAGACACAATGGAGGTCAAACTGACTCTGCCTAAGAAACGAGGACTCGGCGATGGCTCGCATACCCTGAAGAGGCCTTTCAAGTCACCCCTCCGCAAAGGACCCGATGCAGAACCTGTTGTATTCTCGCAGTCTGTATCAACCGATTCTTCCAATCAAAGGTTATTCGTCAATAGCACCTTAAAATGGAAGCCCTCACCTGGTACCCAAACTCCTCTCGCCGCACAGAATCCTTTTCAGGACGCACATATCTCATCAGCTACGACTCCCAAAGCCCGCATTTCCACCCTCCAACGAGAGATGAGTAGTTTACAGCTCCGCCTGGCTCGCCAACTCGAAGAGATAGATATCCTCGAACAAGCAATAAACATCCTGGAGAAAGGAAAACTAGGCGAGCTCGAGATACTTAAACAGAAATGGCGAAGCGTAAGCCGGGACGCGGCCGAGGACCTGTTTGTCAGTGCAAAGGACAAAGTGAACCGTATGGGCGGGGTGAGAGTCTACAACGAGAAGATCCGAAAGAGAAAGATGAAACAGCAGGAGTGGGGAGGGTGGGACGACAAGCAGGATGATGATGACGACGAAGACGAAGATCTTGGGAGTGATATTGAGAGAGAGAAGGAGAGGAGAAAGGCAGAGTTGGAGGAGATGATTAATTTTCGGGAAAAGGACGAAGACGAGCCAGAGGACGAGGAAGAGAGCGAGAATGACGATGAGGTGAGTGGCCCCCTTTTGTGGTTGATTGCTGTTGAAATTGATTCTGACTGGCTGATTATCTAGACTTTTACCATTGACATGATGCTTAAAGGTCTGAATGTCGATCTCAAAGTCATTGGCTTTGATAAGGCTAGCCAGAGATGGATCGATTGAAGATTGTTGCTACGATCTTAGTCCTACTATGACCTCTATATCTGTATTATACCTACAAGCATGGTTATGTCCAGTGAAAGACGACCGAGGTGCATACATCCGCCTACTGAACGGGTATTAGTATTCCTACATCCAATCATAAATGTATAATTTTATCAATGTGGTAATAGACAGACGCAGTTTTATACATATCAATTGCTGAGAAACTCCTTTTTTTTTTTAATTTAAACTTGACGGAGAACTGAAATTGCAATAAGAATATACCCCTTGTGGGGACAAAGAGGAGTCGGACGACCTCATGGAATCGTAAGAACTTGTTACGAATACTCTTTACCCTCCATTTCTGTTTTTCCTACGTATTAAATTCCTATATTTTAGAAATCAAAAATTCAAATTCTTCTCTCTGAACTACTTCCTGACCAGTGCTAAAAACGTAGAAGGACTAGTCTCCTTTTCTATATACGACATCTTGTACGGAATTCGTGTAGCCCATTATGGCTACGTTGAATATTTCCTGGCCTCTGTGTGAGATAGCGGCCGCGGTGCTAAGGCTTAACCCCCCACTGATAAAAGGAAGATGCTGCGTTGAAGACTGAGATATATTTACAGTTGGCTCACTAGTTACCTATTGAACGATTTCTTTATCTCACGGAACCGTCATATCATCGCGGCTCCTTGTTGCGCTCGTCATGACTGTGACCGTCTTCCATCCAACGTTGTAACATGCTCCTACTCTTTGCTATCGCTTTCGTCCGGGTACGCAGGCAAGGTGATCCTTGAACAAAAGCTTTCCCAGGGCTCACCGCGCGATGGAAACGCCTATAGTTACCTCGGAAATTTGCACATCTTTCATCTGCAACTGTGCAGGATGAGGCCGGAAGAAAAGGATCGACCTACGGCCTCGCAAGGGCGATTCAGACCTTCGCAACGCTTGCAGACTGCACCATACGAGCAGTCCTATTATCAGTGCTCTCGACGGCGCGGGAAGCCATCGCTTGAAGGAAGGAAGATGGTGGGAAGAAATCTTTTCAACCATAACAACGCGAGGAAAAAGCGTTGCTAGGTAACCATGCCTGCCGAAAACGGAAGCTGTTTCGAAGCCGCAGTCAAGATCAAGCACTCGGTCGGGCTCTGGGTTGGTTGCAGCATAGAGATTCCCAAGGCAACGAGCACATGGAAGAGGCATAACGGGGGAACTATAGATACCCCAGGAGGACCCGGGGTTGAGGAAACCAACGGTTAGAATGTTGACCCCTGATATACCTAGTGTACCAGAGGTCCAACATTCAATCCCAAAGTGAATGTTCAGAGAATCTGGAGTACGGGTCCACTAGTTAATCACAAAGCGTGGGAATCCGTCTCTAAAGGCCTGGAGCTAGCGTTGAATTTCTATCCAGCACTTGGGGTTCTTCTTCATCCCCCCAAATTGCTCCCAGAAGAGCAGCTAATCATCTCACACTATACCACCATAGCCATGTGATTTCGAATTCAATGAGTATAGATATAAATGCGTGTGGGTGTTCGACGAGGAGTTTCCGCCGGGCATTGTCGGACCATGTGGAATCTATTTTGTTGTAGCCGTATAAGCCCTCACGGGCTACTACACGGTGTATTCCGCTGAGGTGAACGAAGTGAAATAAGGCAGGGCAATTACTGGCACGCACGGCTGTCTTTGTGAATGCCCGGACAGGAATAGTAGATTGGCGCAGGTGGCTGCGGCTGCGCGGTTGGGAGGCGCCAGCGGATGCCCCCAGACACTCATGATCTACCCGCCAGAGCTGCTGTTGCTTCTGCTTCCTCCGCCGTCTTCCAGGCTGTTACTGCTGTTGCCACTGTAGGCCAGTGTGGTTGTGGTTGCTGCATGCTTAATTGGCAATGATCTATGGTGTTTATTCAGTTAGATACACGGAGCAAGTGTTGGATGTAGTGATATTGCTGCAAGAATGTCGAATAAGCTGATCGATTAACCAGGTATCGTCTCTTTGTTGTATGGTTCACCATGCATTGTTGCCATCACAGTTATCGGATCCAGGAGGGAAGTCGGATTCAAAAATGGGCTCCAAGAGTAGTTAGAGGAACAATGGCCCCGATCAAAAGCCGATCTAATATATCCGCTGATGTTTCTTCTGCCTCCCAGGCTCTGCTTCATCTGGCGTCATTTGCTTGCGTTGGAGTCGCAGGCTTAGCAGCCTGGCGCGTGGTTTTGGAACAACTAGTTAACTAGCTATACGATTTCTGGCAACGACTCTTTCGGTCCGGTGTGGTGCATCCCCCTAGGCTGGGGAATAGTAGCCAGGCTGAGCAGTGTATCTAGTCCATGGCCTGCCAGTGAGCGTTTTGATTTGCCGCTCTCCTTTTCAGATGATGATCTTCGTTGTAAAGCACTCTATAACAGGTGCCTGGTATTTAACTAACCAGTGCCCAAAACCAGAGTCAGAGCACAGTTCAACGGCCACTTAGTGTCAATGATATAGCGACTCTTTCTGCAGCCAATTGGGGGCCCCCCTTTTTGGCCCAGCGGTTTGATACATATTCATGGCCTCATAGCGCTCTTGCTGGTATGACGTTCTTTAGGTAGTGTCTTCATCAGATATTACCCTAACATAAATGCCCGCGAATGTTGGCCCTTATAGGTATCAGGAGTAGCACGGGAAATATAGATAGCCCTCAAAATGCATATGACTGCTGCAGTACGACGGCATGAGCTGTTTCCAACGATCATAACTAGTTGGTCGAAAGTTCTTACGGAGTTGGAGATATGACGACTCCAACGACGGCCAGAAAATTCATCGTCATCTTGCCGATTTCTGGTCAAACGTCAGTGTCATGTCAGGTTATTGTCGGCAGGTTACAACTTACACATAGTATGCGCCGCATGGCCCATGGGCCAAAACGACACAATCCCACCAGCGCGATTATCGCGCCGAACACCACAGCGACCCCATATGGGCCAACCCGCTCCAGGAGGAGGGAAGGGATGGGACGTGGCCAGCGTCGCCGCTGGGCCGGCCTCAGGAGCAGCAGTGGCTGTCCATATCCTCCGTTTTTTCTAACTCTCTCTTTTCACGCGAGGCTCTTAATGGCTTCCATGCATGCTCGATGCCGCAGCGGAGGGCGCAGTGCCGGCTCCTTCACTTCTACTACTGTCTTGTGCACTTCATCCGACACTTGGGCACAGCAGGGCAGCAGCCACGATAGCTCATCTTCCTCGCATTGCTGTGCCGCCTGCGTAGTGGCCGAAGCGTAGTTGCACGCAGATGAAGTCTGGCGCCAATGCTGTTGATTAGCTGGATACCAGGTCCTTTGCAGTTCACTATCTGTCCCATGCTGCTGTATATCTTTAGCTGCTCGTCGCACTTGTGATTCGTGCCATGAACATCTGCCTGGCTTGCCTGACCAGATACAGCTCGAGAAAGGCCCATCCTCAGGATCATCAGGTTCAAATGGAACGAACTTCGGCCGCCGTAAAAGGAGCGGCAGCGCCGACGGGTGTCTGAAAGCCAGCGTAGCCTTTTGGTCCATTCGCTGGTCCAACGATTCTATTCTATCATCACATACCGGCCAGGCAGCAGTGTATGGCACTTGTAGCATCGCTTAAATCCTCTTCCATGGAATGATAAAATCTCATCACATAGGTTGCAGATATACTCATAGTTGACTGAAATGTGAAAAATGTACGTGGGTTCACGCATCATTGTTCGGCTCGTGATGCCATTCAATCTGGAGTATCTTGTTCACCCCTTCCGCGCGGTATTTTATCTTCCACACCGACCACTAGGTATATATTGGTTTTAGTTGAACA